GATGTAATAATAATAAGATGATAATAGTTCTGTTGGTTGGCATTGGTTGATAGATGAGCAATATTGAATAAATTTTAATTCAATTTACCTCCGGTTTCTTTTGATAGTTGCTGTCATCTAAAAGCCATTGGAAAATAAAAGTATGCCCAAATTTTTGTACTTCTTTTTTGAGAAGATTTATATTACTTTTACCAGAGAAACCTGTTTTTTCACTTGTAAACTAAATATAATTTTTTAAACTAAATATAATTTAAAGAACAGGGAATTATATAATGCTTTGTGTATTTTGCAATTTAAACAATGTTCATGCTCAGAAAATATATTCTGAAAGATAAGTGAGCCTAGAAAATTTGGTTAGTGTACTTGGCTGAATTTGGATAATTTAAGCACAAAAGAAACTCTGTCAAGAAAATAAACCTTAAATATTATTAAATGTTATATCCATATACTTGATGCATCCTTTACTCTTGCTTAGAAACTTATGAAGAATTATGAGGTGAGTTCATATTACCTGAATTATATAAATCATTTATGTAACCTGAATATTAACTTACTTCCCAACTTTTCTTACATTTGCTGGTTACCCTCTGTGGTTGTAGGTAGCTAGTGAAAAAAGCATCTCCAAAACCAGGGAGAAAAGAAGGGTATAAGGTCAGAAGGAAGCCCATAGAAGCTTCCTTCAAAAAAATAGTGGCAGACAGACCTTGAAGATGTATCTGACAGATTATTGTTATCACATCTCTGCACCTTCTGGTGACAAACCATTTGACAGCATGAAATCTGAACAAATATAAATTTGTCCAGAAGCTAGAAGAAAAAATAGTATTGAGAATTGAGACACACTGAGCAATTTCTAGTAACTTTGGTGACCCTATTGCCCGAAATGAATTCTTTGCATATTACTCCTTTTGCACTGTAAATTCTCCTGCTTAGTCTAAAATGTTAAACCATTTCTCACTAAAGTGTCTGGGATATCTCCAATTCACTTTTCCTACAAAGAGGGGAAAAGATGAAGAATGAGGTACAGAAGGAAGGAAAATGGGATTAGTTGCGTCATGGAGATCAATTTTACCTCCTAAAATCTTGGTTGGAAATTAACTTCTCCAAGGAAGCTTCTCATAATCACTATATTTAATACTGCATCCTTCGTCTTCTTCCTACATCCTTACTCTCACCCTTTTAACCTAATCTACTTTCTTTTGTAGCGTTTATCACCTCATGGTAGATTATAAAACTTGAGGATATGTTTATTGCTCATTGTTTCTGCCAGTTAAAATGTAAGCTCTGTGAGGGCAGGGATATTTATTTCCTTCATTGATATAAAAAGTACCTAAGAAAGTGGCTGGGGCATAATAGTTGCCCAAATATTTATGGCAAAATACTGCTCCTGGGGTTGGGAGTGGGGGGAGTAATTAATGGGCCACCCAAAATTCCAAAAGATTTCTAAAATAAATGTAAATAAGGAATCCTAAGTATTTTAAATAATTCACTAGAATTTAATGTGACATTCTTCCAAGAAGATGATGATTTCCTTCCTAGTACTACTGGTTAATTTATATTTCAACCTCCCTCCAGGGAGCATGTGGGGCTGATCATTTCAGGAAGTGAGGCTTAAAAGATAAGGGAGCTTATTTTATTAAAACAAGAGAAAGGAAAGAAGGAATGCATTGACTCACGACTAGGGGATTTCTAGGGAAATGGCCATTCTTCTATTTTATGCAGAGGGATTGAGTATACTGCTTGTACTTCATTCATTTAATTATTGTTATAGATTGGTGAGTGTTTCTGAGAAACTAAGTTTATTACAGAAATTTATGTCATTTGATTTACCCCATTGGAAGAGAATAGGGCCCAGTGAGAACATAAGTTAATTTGTACTTTATTATATTATATTTAATTAAATATAGATTCTATTAAATGCCCTAAATTAGAGGCTTCAAATTCTTTTTTTTTAAACATTTTTTTTGAGAGACAGACAGAGAGAGAGAGAGACAAAGCATGAGTGGGGGAGAGGCAGAGAGAGAGACACACACAGACTCCAAAGCAGGCTCCAGGCTCTGAGCTGTCCTCACAGAGCCCAACACGGGGCTCGAACCCATGAACAATGAGATCATGACTGGAGCTGAAGTCGGTTGCTCAACCAACTGAGCGATCCAGTTGCCCCAGAGGCTTCAAAATTCTAATCTGATGAGCAATGCTATTTTGTGATAAAATGTTAGTGGCAAAATGAGAAAAATTAGGCTATCCGTATCCTTCAAATCAGCAATCCCATTTCTAGGAATGTATTCTGTTTTTGCATAGAAATACATAGAAATTAGAAATACATAGAAATACATAGAAAATGGAAATTTTTACATAGAAATTAGCTACAAAAGTACTCACCAAAATTTTGTTTACACTTACAAAAAATAAAAGCAATCTAGATACATGCTAAAACTTCAGTGTGTCCACAGTGCAATTTTATGCAAAATAAAGAAATATATTATTGATATAAAGAGTTGTCCATCAAATACTAAGGTTTTAAAGCAGTGAAATCTGCTCCATTTTACCTCATACAAGTACATTCAAGCATGAACAACTTGGATATAATATTAGCAGTAGTTCTCTCGGAATACTGAAGGATTTTTAAAAGTTTTTCCTTTCCTGTATTTTATATTTTTACACAATTAAAAATTATAATATGCATGACACATAGTAGCATTTATCAAAAGATAAGTCAGTGTTTATATATTATATCTGCATAATTTGGTGATATTTCACTGACTTCTGGTATTAAAAACACTTAAGGTTTGGAACATGTGTTTCTTTTATTTAATAGCTGTGCATGTTCAGTAAATGGAAGATTTCCACATCTTATATACAGCTTTTTAATTTTTTGAATATTTAGATATAAGTAGCCCTATTGTCATTAATTATATTCATACAATGTGCGTGTATATATGTATGTATATATATATGTAGAATATAATAACAACAACTCAACAACTCAGTCCTCAACAACTTAGAACATACTTTTGCATACTGTATCTCTTACAGTGTAGAAGCTGGGTTATATTATTGCTCTTGTTTTTAAAAAATGGGGGTTTAGTGCTCATGTGCTTTGTTTGATTTGTCCACGTTTATTCATCTGGTGAATTCTGGGCTCTGAAATCTAGATTTCCATGCCTACCAAAATCTGGCACTTTTGTTTAATTTTCTCTTTCACATGTACTGTTATGCATAACTGCAGGGGAATATGTAGTCTACTCTAAGAACACAGGATACTTTTTAAGAATATCTCCATCCCACCTGTACCTAAGACATGGCACCATTTGAAGTTTTCCCCCTGAGCAGACACTGGTATTCCAACCATGAGAAGCAGCTGTGATACAGCAGCTTCCAGAGAGAGAGAGAGAGAGAGAGAGAGAGAGAGAGAGAGAGAGAGAGAAGGCACTGTGGCCTGTTTTGGCAGCATTTCAAAAGGAGCTATTTGAGGAACAGTGTTTCACTTTCCCCTAATGATAGTGGCTAGTTTGTCTTGCATTCTTCTGGCAGCATACAAGGATTTAGAGGCATTGGATTCAGAGCTCCACGTTGTGAATTTAACATTGGAAAAGATATCTGCAAACTTGTCAGCTCTCTTCCACCACTGGCAATGTGGTGAATAGTAGATTTCTCCTTTGGACATGTGTCTGAGGAAAAATAATCCAAATCTTATCAACATAAATATATTTATATATGACTACTATTAAAAATGAACAAATACTATATATATTTTGAGCTACTGTATTTAATAAGCTAAGGATATGTTGGCAGATTTTATCAGTCCACTTGGCACCTCAAATCTAACATGTTTAAAACAGAGCTCTTGATCTTACATCCCGCCACCTACTCCCCTCCAGTCCACCTCCAATGGCCTGGCCTTTCCAGTTTGCTGTTGGTGACAACATCCCTCCAGTTTCCCAGACCAAAATCTCAGTGTCCTCTGTGTGTCGTGTCCTTCTCTCACACCCTGTATCTAATCCATCTGCAGATCAGGTTGGATTTGTCTTCAGAATATATTCAATCTGGACCACTTCACCCTCTGTGCACTGCTTTCACTCTGAATCAAATTATCAGCCTTTCTTGCCTGGGTTTTGATAGTAGCCTCCTAACTGGTCTCCTTGCTCTGTCCTAGACCCTTCTGATCCGGTCTCAATGAGGCAGCACGATTGAGTTCTTTAACCTATGTCAGTTTGTCTCACTGCTCATATCACAAAGGCCCAAATCATCCATCTCTTTCAAGTAAATGTCCACCTGGGCCTCCTTGTTACCACTCTGACCCATTCCCTTACAGCTACTTTTCCGCTATCTCTGTTCTCGTCATGCTGGCCTCTGCTAGTCTGCTACTGCCTAGCCTGCCCCACCTTGCTCATGGCTCATTCCCAAAGCTTCTTCACACTCCACTCCATTTCCAGTATCTCGGTGAGGCTTCCTCGTTTTGTACTCAAGCTCCCTACCCTCCTAACTGTCTTTATTTTTCATCACACTACTTACCATATGTTGCTTACTACTTTTCTGCCTGTCTCCCCTCCTAGAATGAATATGTAGCCAGAGGTCAGATATTTTTGTTTAACTTGCTAAAGGTTCTATCCCTAATGCTTGGAACAATGCCTAGCACATATAGATTCAACAAATATTTGCCAACCATTTGTTAAACCGAAAGTTTTTCCTTGACTCTGTTTATTATCAGGTCTTGCATTGGGCATTAGAGAACTATATAAATGTAAGTCTTGCTAAAAGATGCTTAAATATGTCATTTTAATTTGAGGAGGGGAATGTGAAATAATTCCTTCTTAATCACTAGACTTTTAGGCACATGACATTGATTTAAACAAACTTGCCAAAAAATATCCTATTTCAGGTATAAAACCATTGTTTATACAATCATTGTAACTGTGGTAGCATTTCTCTTATTTCAACATTTTCCCTCTGTCTCTTGTTTTTTTTGTTTGTTTGTTTGTTTTGTTTTTGTTTTCCAGAAAAGAGGCACAGTTAGATGAAGAAGGACAGTTTCTTGTCAGAATAATATATGATGATTCTAAAACTTATGATTTGGTTGCTGCTGCAAGCAAAGTCCTCAGTAAGTTGAATGCGATGTTCCTTCTTTGGCTAAGTTACATGTAGAAGCCCAAAGGAATACATGAACCAACGTCCCATTGTAGCGCTATGCAGGTTGTACACTGCACAATGGTGGAGGGAAGGCCCAGACTACACGGAGTCCTAGTTTTCATTTACAAGCTCTTTAGAGAATGGAGAAGCTCTCTGCACCCCCTCACAGAAAGCCATCTGTTAAAGGAGGAAAAAAATATTGACACAATGTAATAGTAACTTCAGTTATGATGTTAACAACATACTAATTATGTTGTTAGTATGGATAGTATGGAGAAAATACTGTCCCCAAATCTCTCTTGCAATCATGGATTCTGTTAGCTATTGGTAAAGGAAACAAGAAACTGAAGTGTACATCAGAGTAGACCAAATTTAAAAACAGCTTCATGGGGGAAAAAAAGTTGTTCTCAGAGTTATTGTCATAATGCTTAATTTACAGTTAGGCTATAGTTTGGATAGAATAAAAAGACACGTTTTAGCTTTGGCAACTATAACAAAGAGCAAATATCTGTTACAGAAAACAAGAATTACAAAGAAAGTATAGTAAATTGTTAATAAAAATATTCAGCCTCATTAGTAATCAAAACTGAAACAAATATGAAATAATTTTTTCATGCAAATTTGGTAATTTTTGAAAATGAAATGTTTAGTGTAGTCAAAAGTATAGTTAAAGGAGAAATTACACACATTTTTCATCTGATGGTAAATTAAGACAACATTGTAGAGAATAATTTTGCACCATTACTTAGTCTCTTAAATAACTCTACAAACCCTTTAGGAATTTTTTGTAATTACTAGATTTATTTGCATTAAGATTTATGTATGTTTTCACTTCAGTATTACTTGTGTTATCAAAATTGGAAAAGTCTGAATTTCTATAGAGTAAATTGACTAAATAAATTGTTGTGTCCCATGTTAATGAGATAGCAATTAACATTGATATTATAGAAAAAAGTTTAAAGAGTTTAGGAAATATTAATAATTGAATGTTAAGAAAGAAAGCAGAGAATATTGGGGTACATACTATATGTAGCCAACTTATTAAATATATGTATTTACCTGAAGAAAACCATTTTTGCCACAATATTACGTCGTGTGCATTCTTGATTTTCCTTCTGTAGTTTTCAGAAATAATAAGCTAATACATTAAGTATCTGTTTTAAAAAGCTAGAAATTAAGTAAGTAGTTTGTCGTGAAAGCTGAGAAACTGATTAATTTACATTTAAGTACAAATCTTACATGTCAATGTATTGTCTTCACAGATTTCATTGTGTTGTTCAGGCCAGAATTTTCTCTTGTGATCTATGTCTTCTTGTACAAAGACAGGATATTTTAACTTTTCTTATGCATCTATTTTCATTCTTCCCATTAGCAATATTCTAGCCATAATATGTTTTATTGTTGTTCTCTCAAACCTATAAAATAGATCTCAATGCCGGAGAAATCCTCCAAATGTTTGGGAAGATGTTTTTTGTCTTTTGTCAAGAATCTGGTTATGATACAATATTGCGTGTCCTGGGATCTAATGTCAGAGAATTTCTACAGGTAAGCAACTTGAGGTCCCGTACTTAAGAGTTCTGAGTCGGTGATTCTTAAGGAGAGGCTTTAGAATGCTTTTGCTCAGGCAACTAACTAGATGAGAATGTCTTCTTACCGAAATGGAATCATAGTGACTTTTTCCAATTCTTATGAAATTGTGGTTCTTGGGTGGTCTTGAATACATTTTAACATTTTTGTTTCATATTTTTTCTTTAACTTTTGGTTGCTGATCTCGAATATTCAAGTTGTAAATTAATGCTCCCTGAAAATCTCAACATGGCCTATTGTGATCTGTTTCACTGCCTCCTTTTTAATGGTTTAAGTGTGTATAATGTGGTCTTATTTTCTCTTTTAAGGTATTCCTAGTTTGTGTAGCATAATTAAATAGTATATCAGTATCTGTGAAGTGTGACCTGGGCTCAACATTTAGGAGAAAGCACGGTGGCTTTCAGGAGCTTTCAAAACAAGTGTGAGAAGAATTGCTCCCAGTTACATATTAATTAGCCTACTGTAGAAAGGAAACTAGGAAAGCGCTTCCAAAGTCAGTTTCAGGTGAAATGAAAGAACTAATGTTCCCAAAGGCCTTTGTCTTCTATTCTTGTTTAAATTACCTTAAAAGTTTTTACTAGTAAATTACACATTAGATGAGAGTCTATTTTTGGATTGGCTGCCCTATTTTAAGCACAGGCATTTTGTAAAGACCCTCTTCTCGAATTGTGTTAAGGTTGAAAATTATGTGGTTGTTTATAAAGGATATTTCTACACTGGCTGCTGAAAGCAGCCAGATCTTGCTGGAAAATGATGTCAGTACAATACTAGCTGAACCCAAGCCCAGTTTTGAGGGAATGTAAACTACTTCCAATCCAGCTGCATTATTGATTTAACAGCCAAAATAAGAACTTTGGTGTTTAATCAAAATGTCTGCTGTTTACATAATGACATTTTTCGTACAAACTTAAAACAGCATTAAATCAAGATAGAAACTGGTTTGCAAGCCCCTGCCATGCATTTGCAGAACTACTAATGTCAAAAAAACCTGCCACTTCCAAATGAAATAGCTGCCAGGAGATTTTTAAATTAAAGTTTAAAAGGCTGTATGTAAATGAGTTATTTTAAATGGATAAAGTTTGATATTTAAACTTTATTGGGATTTTGGATTTTTGAATACATAATTCCATTTTTAATACTTTCATTGCCGTTTGGCACCTTATCGGTAAAGTTTCAATTTGTGATTCCTCTGTCTTAATTTTAAATTTTATTCTGAGTGGTCATGTCTGCATACGAAAACAACTATCCAAAGGATCTTACAAACATTTTTTTAACCTTTATTCATTGGCCTTCTGCTAAATTTGTAATGGCCCAGGAAGAGAGCAAGCAGCCTTTTGGTGCGTTTCTCTAGGTTCTAGAACTCCACCATCCAATAGGATAGCCACTAGCCACATGTGCCTGCTATGTATTTGAAGACTTTTTTATATGTTTACTCATTTTTGACACAGACACACACATGGGTATGAGCAGGAGAGGGGAAGATAGAGAAAGAGACACAGAATCAGAAGACAGCTCCAGGTTCTGAGCTGTCAGCACAGGGCCCAAGGCAGGGCTTGAACCCATGAACCATGATACCATGACCCGAACCCATGAACCGTGAAATCATGACCTGAGCCAAAGTCAGACACTTAACCGACTGGACCACCCAGGCACCCCATTACTATATTTGAAATGTGATGTGCTATGTGTAAAATACACAGCAATTTCAAAGGCAGTAAAAATAGAATACAAAATAGCTGATAAGCATTTCATATGAATTACATGTTAAAATGACAATATTTTGAATATATCGAGTTATATAAAATATATCATGAACATTAATTTGGCCTGTTTCTTTTTTCTTTTTTAAACATGGATGCTAAAATTTGAACATTGCACATGTGGCTAGTGTTTGTGGCTTGTTTTTAGTGTCTATAATTGCGTTTTGTTCACTAGACAGTATTATTTTACAGACGCCTAGTTCCCTTCTCAAAGTCAATAGGCAGCTTTAGTTAATATGTCTTTAAGTTACATATGATTTTATTTGTCTCTTGGTGTGTGAAAAATGAAGAAACTAGAAAGTTAGAATACTGTGAAGTGTTCACCAATATTATGTATTTTTTATCTAATTCTTTATTTTCCTGATTTTCAAATTGCATATCTTAACAGCAAATTGAATGCATTTAAATACTGCTTTTCTTCAAAGTAGGTATTTATCTTATGATTAAGCTATTTCCATAGAAATTAAATGAATATTTTTTCTTGTGTAAGTGATTATAAAATAAAGCCACTGATTTTCATAGTCTTAAAATCCTCATTCATATGTAAAATTTACATTTTTCATTATACCAATTAACAAAATATTATTTTTTTGTAGACATCAATCCTTCACTAAAGAGTACCATAAACTGGGTCTCATTTTAAAGAGAGTTTGGGGGAATCTGGATGGCTCAGTTGGTTGAGCGTCTGACTCTTGATTTTGGCTTGGTTCATGATTTCACGGTTCATGGCATCAAGCTCCCTATCAGGCTGACAGCACGGAGCCTGTTTGGGATTCTCTCCCTTGTTGGCATTTGGGCTCTCTCTCTCTCTCAAAATAAATAAATAAACATTAAAAAATAAATAAAGAGAGTTTAAAAACTTTTCTTTCTTTTTCATCCCTAATTTTAATCAGTAATCAAATCCTTAGAGTCTATTTCTTAAATACTGTATTTTGAGAATTCTACTACTTTTCCTCATGTCCTCTACACTTCTGTGGGAGGTATTTTTCTCTAGAGATACGAGGCTTACCCAGCCTCCCCTCAAGACTCTTCCAATCTCTTCTCCATTCTACTGGTTTTTCTGAAATGCAAATATATCTCATTATATTATTTTCTTGCTTAAACCCTTCCATGCTTTCCAATTACTCACTGGAAAATATAGAAAGTAATTAAAATAATCCCAGCTACTTACATACCCTATCCATCCTTCCTCTTCCTCTCCCCTAGTCTAGCCAAACAGAAACTCTTTTAGAATCTTTGTTTTTAATCTTTCTGTCTCTATCCCCTGAGCTTTTGCGCCTGCTCTCCCCTTTGTCTAGAGCACTGTTACTGATGCTTTTCATCTAAATAAATTCTGTTTATCCTGCTGGTCATGCTACTTGTCCAGGAAGACACCACTCCTCTCTCCAGTGTCTGTCCTGAGTCAGGGCAATTGCTGTTGTCCATGTTTTCAGAATTTCTATTTCTTGTATTTCTAGCCCTCATGTTTCTCACACTGTATTATCATTTCCTGTTTGTTGGGCTGCAATGTAAACTTCATGGAGCCAGAGACCATGTATAATCTCTTAATGATGGTATCTCCATAGATACGGTCTATATCTGAGACTGAATAAATACCATTTTTGAAGACTGAAAAAATGAAGGTTTGCTTATTTCTACAAAAATAAGAAGCAAATACAACACGAGCTTAAGATTAATTCTTTTATTAAAGATAATGAAACTCATTTTGATGAGACTATATAACTATATTTAGAGATGAATTATAGTTTGAATTATCCATCACATGTGGACATGGCAAATTAGTGTTTACTAATTAATTTACAAGTTACATTATTTGTATCTATGGAAACTTTTAAAAGGATCATTCTAATATCTCCATTTGGAATTTCCAGGTAACAATAAAATAGCTACTGGACTTAAAGTATGGGAAATCATTTGACCATGCCTTAGGCTGGGCAGCTCTGACCATTCCTCATGGTTCTAAAGAGGATGTCCTTGGAAGTTGTCCGTCCTCAGCCTCTCAATTAAGAGTTTGACATCTATTATGTTTTTGCTTTTCTTGAAATAGTTTTCAAAATTTCTGAAATTTGCCTTACCTTGAATCTGGGTGAGCTTTGGTGATTATTTGACCAATAGAACATGGCAGTATTTTGACACTTCCGAGGCTTGTTCATAAGAAGTCTTTTAAGTTTGAACCTGAGTGTCTTCGAATAGTTGCTCTCAGAAGGACCCCTCCAGGACCCCAGCGGCATGAAATGAGAAGTCCAAGCCATATGGAGAGGTCATGTGTAGGCTCTCAGACATCAGCACTAGCTGAACTCCCAGCAAAGGGCCAGCAACCACACTCAGCCTTTTGCATGATCTGTCCTGGGAAAACAGCCTGGTAGAGCATTATGATGACACCATCCCCAGCTTCATCTGACTCCCACCCAAGGGCTTCCTGAGTCCAGAAAATTTCCAGAACCATGAGAGATACATTATTGCTTTAAGCCAATCAGTTTGGGGTGCTTTGACATGTAGGAATGCATAATGGGAACAGTACTCTGTATCTTATTTTCCTCTTTATTTTTTATGTCTGTGTTACTACGTGTGTGTACACTTATATACATATATATGGATGAGTCAAGAGCTTTGAATGGACCATGTTTGATAAGAATACTATATAGCCTCTGGGAATGAAATCCAAGTCAATCTATAGCAGGGCTATGAATTCATTCTCAGTGGTGTCACATTATTACTGCATTCTATAGTCTTTACTTCCTCAGTAATTTTACAGAGGTAAAATGAAATTTCAGTGAGCATGGAAAGCTGTCAGGGTTGATTACTGAAAAATAAATAAGTGAGCAATTTGCTATCTTAGAGACTAGCCAGGTTAAATTATGAGCTTGCTTAAATATGCATCAGAATCTCAGTTGAATATCAAATACATATTATGTTATTGTTTGCTGGAAATACCCATTGCTTCCCTAATTTTGGTATGGTGGCAGTTTCACTCATTCATTCTATTCATATATGTTAATGTTCAAGCACCTCTGCTCAGCATACAGTAGGATTTTCTTCAACTTCATTTTGGCTCGAGGTTTTGGCTTCTAAAGCACAACGTTGTTACTTGGCCAGCCCACCAGGAGCAATGTGGGATTGATGACGGATCTAAAATTCTTCAATGTTTGTGCAAAGTGTTATTTTGGGAACTCTGAGGATTTTCCTGAACAGCTGTGA